CCTCGTTCCCTGGATATCTCTTTGGTGCAGGGAAGTGGAGCCCTGGAAGAAATTGGGAAGAAATCCCAATTCCCAGCAGTCCCTGGCTATGCGCATGGTTACCTGGCATGTCTCAGCAGAGACATCAGCATCCTCCAAGCATGAAGCTTGAAATATCTCAGGGCTAGGACCTGCTAGTGACAAACACGCACAGTGGTAGTTTGTCATGTGCTTTGTAAAGGGCACTCAGTGAATGAGGGGTTAAGAAGCAATGCAGACTTTTATGCAGGATCCACAACTCTGATCTTGTGTAAAACTTTTTTTTTTTTTTAAGTAATTTGAGCAGGGGTTTATGCAGCAGTGAATCATGAGTCTCTGTTTGTCATACCTAGTAATTGCTGTTAAGATTTTATTTACAGTGTTGACATTCAGTCTCGAGAGCACTGTGCACAAAGTCCCTGGCTCGACGCTGTCTGCCGCAAGCTACATGTAAGAAGTCACCACAGGGGTGCTGATTTATGGCTTTCCCAGCCCAGCCGCAACAGCAACCAGACACCTTCTAAATCCATGAGTTTATTTCACAGATACTGTATTTTGAGTGATGTTTAATTCAGAAATGTTGTTGCTAGAATTGCTGGACTGAGGTCAGCTTCAGGCTCTCTACCCCTGAGGTCAAGTTGCAGGTGAATTTAACTTTCCTTCCCCCCAGCTCTCCATTTGGATGGGCGCTGCTGGGGAAACTGGGTGAGTTCGGTGTCTCAGATCACCTTTCAGTCTCTGGTCTCTCATCTGAGGTCGAGTTTAGGTTCTTGTCATTTTGTGTTGAAGGCCAGCGGCAATTCCAATAACAGGTCCTTTCTCAGATGTTTCAAGGGCTCCTTACCCCCTCATAATATGAGCTGGAAAAGATGGAAAAGAAAAGACTGCAAATATAGATATGGGTTCAACCCTTTGCTTAGGCTCAATCCTGTTTCCACTAGGGATGGTGAAAGCATGTCCTGGCATCCAGGGGCAGCTCATGAGCATGTTTCCACCCATCCCCTCAGCACCTCATGCAAACCAGCAGTACCAGTCAATAGCGTGAGCGGCTGGTGTGCACCCTCTCTGTCTTGCTCTTCCTCTAACAGCACCCACATGCATCAGGAGACCCAGATCTCCTCCCCATTGTTCACAAACCCACGAGTGAGCAGCAGATGGCAGCAGGAAGAAAGTAGGCTTGTGTGTGTGTGTGTGTGTGTGTGTTCATGTCAGAGAGACAGAGAATTTTTGGCCTCTTATATACACAGATCCTGGATTAGTTTGTAATAGAGCTGGAGCTGGAGGGAAATTAGATGCCAATGCTGAATAAAGTGGTTTTGACAGACAGGAAAGATTACAAGCCATTTTGATCCTACTGGAGCATGAATGTGAAGGGGGAAAAAAAAAAGACCATGAATGGCAGAAGCAGCTCAGTGAACATTCCAAGGACTTCACCCAGCAACAGCCACTTCAGCAGTATTGGAGAGCAGGAGCTTGTTCCCCTTTGCTGGAAAGAGCTTCTTCCTGACTTAGTGATGTCTATTCGGGTCAGGCTCAATCCTCCTCTGCCTTCTCTTCTGCAACTTACAGCATTAGTCCCTCCCTGACAGGCAAAAGTGATTCATTCTTCTTCATCACTCATGATGCTCAGTCCACACGCCTCCAGTAATAACTTGCCCCTCCATATTTTCCTGGGTTCTTGCTTCATTTGGCTCTGCAGTTTTCTTTTGATCAGCTCAGGGTGACAGGAATCACTGCTGGTGTAAAGGTTTGTGCAGGTGGACTGGTCTGCTCTGTGTCAGCCGCACAGACCATAACTTTGACAGCCTGCTGTAGCTAGTTAGTACTGCTTTATAACTAACCCTAGTTGAAAAATTGCAGAAACTGGGAAAATAGGGCTGCTCGGAAGCCTGTGACATTGCAGCTCTCAGTCCTATCTGCAGCTGGTATTGCCTGGTAACAGTTTGCCTGTGTTACAAGGGTGATCCCTGTATTTCAGATGAAAGGAGGATCTGCTGTGCTTTGTGCAGCACCAAAGCAAAGGTGACTTGCAGAGGCTTTCAGTGGATTGCTGAATGGTGCTACAGGAGTAATTCCTGCCACATGCACCGTCCCCTCATCCTGTAACTAGGGCCACCTCTGAGGCTTGGGGCAAGGGGTCCCAACCCTCAGCCGTTGCCAAGCCCCAGCTGCCCCACCGCTGCCGCCTCCGGCCCCCCGGCTGACACGCTCTCTCCCTTCCCTCCCGGGCAGCGCTTGCAGCAGATGACACAGCCCAAGCCAGAGGTGCACGCTCAGAACAATGGCCTCCAGCCGAAGACATCCTTGAATGGGAGGATCTCGGATGCTGCCGTCTAGGAGGAGAGCCCGGACCTCCTCGCCCTGCCCTGTAGCTGCTCGCACCACGTTGTCCCTCGAGCTCCTCCGGCACAGCTCGCAGTCCCCGGCTCCGTGGTGGCTTTCACTTGTTGAAGAGAGGACCTGGTGGAGGAACCCTCCTCTCATGTCTCTTCCTCCTGGCCCAAATTACCAAGGCCCTGCACAAGCTGCTACCAGGATGTTGTGAGGTGACCATCTTCATCCTGCAACATCCTAGTCCAGGCTCTCACAGAGGAGTGGCCAGTGGCCAGGTCTTCCTCCTCCTGATGAGAGATGATGTTTCTAGAGAGCTTAGACTGATCGCTGATCACTTCTCTGTTTTTCTTCTTGCTTTTCCACGTGAATCTCCACAGAGCATCCCATAGCACACAGCCATGCTGTCACCCTAGAGAGGCAGCTGACACCAGGTTCAAATCCCAGATGCTTGTCAACTGATCTAGCATAACCCAACACTAGCAAATGCATAACTGGAGGGGATGTGGCAGAACGAGGAATTCCAGTGAGGAGTCCAGTGTGCTGGAAGCTGTAGAACATCACCCCAAAATTAGAGAAGGGCATCAGGACAGTGTGCACTGCTCACAGGGTGCTGTGTTTCAGCCCTGCACAGTCTCCAGCCATTATCACCGCATCCATCGGGGCTGGCACTGTGAGCCAGAGCCTGGCAGAGTACGCAGCCTTGTTCTCCTGGAGCATCCTGCCCTCTGCAGCTGTGTGCAGTAGCCACTTCCTGACCCTAAATGCAGTTAAGGGGGTTAGTGAGGGCTCTTTGCTAGAGGCTGTCCTAGCCTCCTACACTGACCACTCTCTGCTGCAATCAGCTTTGTGCAGAGGCGAGAGGTTTGCTGTGTGATGGGGAGACTTTCCAGCACGGTGTAAATCTCCCCCACAGCCAAATACCCTCCCTGGCTGTGTCCCCAGGTGGGAAGAAGTAAGATGCAGCATAGTGCCCACGGGTGGTTTAGCTTATACCTTTTTCTGGAAGTGGCAGCACCTAAATCCCAGCCGGCAGAAGGCCGGAGCTCCTGGGGGAACTGGTAGGATGTAGTGACCGTGCTTAAACCCAGCCCTGTGAACCAGTCTGACTTCCCTTGGGAAGTGTCTGTATAGTCAGCCGCTGGCGCTGGCACATCCCAACTTCCAGCACACACATCACAGGGGGCCGTGAGGTGTTGTAGATGATGCTGGAGAAGTGTATAACACCTCGGAGAAGGCTGGGAAGTGTTTCAGAGCAGTCCTAAAGCAGCAGCATTATTTCTTGGTTATAAAGCCTTGAGAAAGGAGGCTCATCATAGCACCAGGTGCAGGTGTGACAGTGATGCTCCCGATTGTGGCAGCCTCCCAGTGACCCCATGCAGAGATACGCGTGCACTCAGAGCATTTGATGAGCACCTGTCACACATGTGCACACATCATGTGACTTAGTGCAAATTAGTCTTTCCCCTCCCTTGGCACCCTGGCAGCATCGCCAGGTCTGTTCACACACCCAGGCTCAGCTCCGAATCAACAAATTCATAAATGAGTGTCCAAAAACAGGAACATCCCACTCATGCTTCCCACCAAAGGGTCCGGTCTTGCAGGTGACCTGCTGAAGACCCTCAGGGGTCCCACTGCAGGCACAGCTGAGCGATGAGCCTTTGTGCAATTGCCCTGCACTCCGTTAGGAGCTGTGAAATGATGTGGGTTGGCCCCATGCTGCCCATCCCTGGGACCAGCCAGTGCATGGTGCCAACCCGCTCTTCTGCTGGTCTTCCAGCCTGAGGACCAGTAGCGTAAAGAGGAAAGAAGTGGTCTGGTTAAAGCTGAGGTCGGTCACCTTTGGGGTTGGGTCCTCTGCCAGCTCACCAATGCATCTCAATTAACGTTGCTTTAGATGTGTAACCAATTTGTGTTTGCACACGTGGCACGTGGTATGTCCTGGCTTTTAGTGATTGTGGCTGCCAGGCCTTGAGTGCATGTTTTGCAGTCTCCAGCACCACGAGCTAAGATCACGCCCTGTCCTGCATCTAATCATTAAGGTGTTTACATCAAAAAATTTGCAGCTGTTAAATAGACATGAGGAAATAGTGAATTTACAGACTTGATCTGGTAAAGCTGAAAGCCAAACACAGCTGCAATCATGGTTCATCACAATTAATCTCAGCTAGTCACAGACATGTCATCTTTCCTTGTTCTGTAATTGCAAGTGCTACTATAGCTGAAATTTTCTATTCCACTTTCACCTATTTTTATAAACCAGGGGTTAAAGAAAACCACTCCTTATATACATGTATGTCTTTTCAGAGGGACATCTGTGTTGAAAACAGATGTTAACCTCTGATCTTTGCAGTAATGACCTTTACTAGAAACCTGCTTTTACCTGTGCATCCAGGTCATGTAACCTTCCTCCCCTGAAATGCAGACTGAGACTTGTACAGGCGGGTGACAGGCAAAGGAGTCGATTCTTGAGCGAGGCCTTAAAACCATTGAAGACCCAAATTTTTCCAACTTTATTGGTGCAGCTCAGGTCTGAGGTAGAACAAATCAGTGTCAGTGGTCCTTTTGGAAACTCTTGGCCAAAGAGCTCAGTTGGTGGGAGAGCTGTTCAAATGGTTGTACCGTCCACGTCATTCCTCCAGGGAGTGGAGAAGGAAGGGTCCAGAAAACAAAGTCCTTTCCCTAGTGGCTGAGGAAATCCCTAAATCTCCAATTCCTTTTTGCTGGGATTTTAGTTCCAACATCTCTCCGACGTGTGGCCTTGTGTGTGGCAGGTGCAGAACATCACTCCAGGTGCAGCAGCAGGGGCTAATCCGCACATGGGCTGCTCATAACAGTATTTGAGGAGATTTAACCATTTGCTCAGTTTCCTGCCTGAGACCTTCTCCTTTGCTGTCCCTCCTGCCCTGCTCCTTTCTGTTCTCCTGCCTCACTTCTTCCCCACTTATCATCCGTCCAGTGGAAATTACCTACCTCAGCTTCCTTCTTCCTGCTTTTTTGCTTCCACTACTGTCAAATTACAGGTCTCCTTCCTTTCTCTTCTCCTTCCTATTCTTTCCTCATTTCTATCTCTCTCTATTATTACCAGCCTCACTTCCTTGCTCCTCTCATCTGCTCTCCTTCCAGCCTTATTACTTATTCCTGCATGCTTGTGGCTCAGTTGCTCGCTGTGCACACGCCCAACCCTTCTGTCTGCTGAAAGCTGGAGCTCAGGACCCCATGGAGGAGCTCAGTTTTTTGCAGGATCTGGTTGCTAAGAACCAATTTTCATCCCAATATCAAAATTATAATGAAGTTCTAACTACCTTCTCTTCCTCATTGCACCAGAAAGTGCTGTGCCAAGCAATGCTATCTCCTGGTATTAGTAGAGTTTCAACCCATATTCCACAGGTGTCTGCAGAGCTGTGCCTGTTCTGAAACATTTAGTGGCCTTTCCTGGTTTTGCACTATTTTATTTCTACCATGAATGTTTGGATCTGCAAAGTCTGGCATTCGTAGCCTTGCAGGGAGGAATTTGCCCTTAGTCAAGCTCTGTCTGGCTGACTCATCCAATTCTCCAGCATTTCAAACTCATCCCATCCTTAGTGCTAGAAGAGCCTTCCCACCTCCATGGCACGCAGGTTTCCCATCTAGTGAGAAGGCAGGGATGGGGACAGCCCCTTGAGCTCACCCCACGCCTCAGAAATGCCGCTACGTGCAGGTCCAGTGAAGCAGCCATATCTGCGTGTTGACTTTGTCCCTTCAGGCTCTGGATACCAGCTGAAAGGCACGTGCCGTGCTCGGTGCCAGTGACTCCTTCTGTGCTGTTCCCACGGTGCGTCACTTCTGGTGACCACCCCTCTGCTCCCCGCTACTTTTGGCTCACCCGGCAGAAAGGATACGTGCATGGCTGGGGG